TTTGTCTTTTGATGTTGTTTCTAGAAACTTAAGTCTTACACTGAATCTATAACGTGATTTTGCTTTGATACCAAAATATTGTCATAAAATTATTAAAACAGAACTTGCATTTTCAGTTTAAGAAAGGGTCTGGGGAACACCCAGAAGGCATGATTTTGCATCATTTGTTCTATAGCTTCTTGGGCCTTCAGCGGTTCAAAAACCCTTCAAAAAAAATTTTGCCTCGCTCCGCTCGGCGAAACATGTTTGCCAATACTTTTAAAAGAGCCTTAGTTACAACCAAACTTTAATACTGTGTATGTACATGTATGCAATACATATATATGCATTGGGGAATATAGAAGATTCATTTCTGCAGAGGATAATAATTAATTCTGATTAAATGGTACATAATGACTTGACTATACATGAATTATTTATAATAAACAAATAATTTAATAAAATGCTCCGCAGGGCGCAGCTTGATACGACCGCAGAGGTCGAACCCTGAACAGTTGGGGGAAGTATGGACACAACATTCAAGCTTGATACAGCTTTGGATTTGGATTGTGATTAAATATTTGACACAGCATAGGTTTCTAACACAGATTGAATGTGGTCTAAGAACTTAAAAATTTTAAATTGGACATTCACCTATTATGGTCCAATATCCAAAATCTAAATACATGGTTAGATTCAGCATATCAAAGAACCCCAAGAATTCAATTTTTGATGAAATCAAACAAAGTTTAATTTCGGACCCTTTTGACCTCAATGTGGACAAAGTTGATAACGGGGCCCAAAAATCAAAAATCTAAATACATGGTTAGATTCAGCATATCAAAGAACCCCATATATTCAATTTTTGTTGAAATCAAACAAAGTTTAATTTTGGACCCCGATTTGGACCAACTTGAAAACTGGGCCCATAATCAAAAATCTAAATACATGTTTAGATTCAGCATATCAAAGAACCCTAAGAATTCAATTTTTGTTAAAATCAAACTAAGTTTAATTTTGGACCCTTTGGACCTTAATGTAGACCAATTTGAAAACGGAACCAAAATTTAAGAATCTAAATACACAGTTAGATTCGGCATATCAAAGAACCCCAATAATTCAATTTTTGATGAAATCAAACAAAGTTTAATTTTGGACCCTTTGGACCTCAATGTGGACCAATTTAAAAACGGGGCCCAAAATCCAAAAACTAAATACACGGTTATATTCAGCATATTAAAGAACCCCATGAAATCAAGAATAAAACCCCATTGAAATTGGTCAAGAAATAAGCAATTTATAGGAAGTATCTTCTTTTGCACAATCCTGTGCTATTAAATATTTCTTGCTATTGCGCAATACTGTACAATTGACAATTTCTTGCTATTGCGCAATATTGTGCTATTGGATATTTCTTGCTATTGCGCAATACTGTGCAATTGAAGATTTCTTGCTATTGCGCAATACTGTGCAATTGAAGATTTCTTGCTATTGTGCAATACTGTGCAATTGAAAATTTCTTGCTATAATAATTTACACATCCTGTTTGGTGTGTATCTACTACCATATCATTATTATTTGATTTTAAATATAAATCAGAAATAACCAACTTAAAATGGAAAATTTTAAAAGAAACAAAAAAGGAAAAAAAGAAAAAAAAGGAAAAAAAAATAAATCCCCCCCCAAAATTTTTTGAACCCCCATTATGATTCATCACCCCCAAACTCAATCCCAGCCTTCCCTTTGTGGTATGGTACCTTGCAGTACAATTTCAGAGAGATCCATACACTTGAACACAAGTTATTGTCTGGAAACTAGAAAAAAATGTGTTTTTTGGCCCCTTTTTGGCCCCAAATTCCTAAACGTTTAGGGCAATTACCCCCAAACTCAAACCCAGCTTTCCCTTTGTGATATGGAACCTTGTAGTACAATTTCAGAAAGATCCATACACTTACACACAAGTTATTGTCATGAAACTAGAAAAACGCTTGTTTTTTGCCCCTTTTTTGGCCCCTAATTCCTAAAATTTGGAGGCAATTACCCCCAAAATCAATCCCAGCATTCCTTTAGTGATATGGAACCTTGTGGTACAATGTCAGAGAGATCCATACACTAACACACAAGTTATGTCTGGAAGTTACAAAAATGCTTATTTTTGGCCCCTTTTTGGCCCCTAATTTCTTTACTGTTATTACCATAACCCCCAAAATCAATCCCAACCTTCCTTTTGTGGTATTGAACCTTGTGGTAAAATTTCATAAAGATCCATTCACTTAAACTAAAGTTAGAGTGCGAAAACCAATGTGTCTTCGGACGACGCCGGACGACGCCGGACGACGACGACGACGACGACGACGACGCCGGACGACGACGACGCCAACGTCATACCAATATACGACCACAAAAATTTTTTTGCGGTCGTATAAAAATTGTATGTTTTCGAATATTATAAATATAGTTGTGAAAATAAATAATCAGTCCCTTGCTTTAATGAAAATGAAAAATCTTGCTTCAATAGTGCAGAAAATAGATAATCTGTCCTCTTAGTTTACAAAAATAAATAACCGATCCAAAACAAATCCTCCTGGCCCCCCCCCCAGAATATCAAATGGTCGTCCCCTTAGTTTTCTGTGTATCATTTTGTCATCCCCAGTTCTTTTTTTTCCTATTGGAAATGTTATTATCTGTCTTATTTTATTGCCTCTTAGTAACTTCTTACTTTATCCGCTCAATAGAAAACCAATAATGGACGAGGAACGTTACCATATAAATTTAAACTTTTAAAATTTAGATAAACGTCATATAAATAAAACTATAAGTTACCTACTTAAAATACCTTAGATGGACATTTGCGCTTTAAACTTTGACACACCTGAACCAAATTGACCGGACATTTTCGCGTTTTACATCGCGATGACCGTGAGGGCATTCCGATGTATTGTTGCCGACGAGATTTCTACTTAAGTAACTTTCGTGTTTGACTGGTAACCAATCTATAAATACGCGGACATTATCGAGTGCAATATAACATTCATTGTGGCTTGTTATAAATTCATTTTTTAAATGAATGCTCATAAAATATTTTTGTTTAGAACATAAATTAATAATATGAAAATGTTTTGTCGTTAGAAATATATATATATATGTAAAAAAAATCATTGATAATATCTATGCACACGTACAGAAAAATTGTGTTAACGCATGCGGAAGAATATCTCAAGAACGTTTTGCGTGAAAATATGAATGCCTGCTAAAATCAAATCTATTAGAAAAATCATATTACTAGTATTACAGAAGAGTGTCCACCATGCACTTGCACTGCACTATTATTATAATAGTAAAATAGAATGATATACAAATGGATGAAAATTATATGTTATACATGTAACTGTTATATACAAACATTTAACATAATATATAACAACAAACCAGAGTATACTGATTTGTATCACTACAACATAATAGTTATTACGGTGACGTTGAATTCCCTGTCATTTATTCATTATCCACGCACAAACTTGTCTCAGAAAAAAATATATCTCTGTACATTAACCTCACTTTCAGATATACAGATGTGATTTTTTTTCTGAGACAAGTGCTTGTGATCATCCACAAGAACTTGCGGTCATCCGATGTTCAGTACTTCAGTACTTTGATAACCTATATATTAAGTTCACCTGTAATCTCAAGGTGGCTGGGGTGTCTTCCTCCATCTTGGATTTTGAAGTAGCAGATGACAATTGGTCTAAATCTTTAATGAAACGTGCAAATTTTGAGAGTAGTATGTAATTCATGTGTAAGACTTTTCATGTTGATATAGAATATAATGTGTTTTATCATATTTACGGCTATATTTTCTAACAAACACAACATTTTTGTTTGATTCATTTTTTTTTCAACTTTGCCACATAAGGGGAGATAACTCAGATAGTAGGGGAGATAACTCAGATAAAGTAATTTTTATAATTGGAAGTGTTGTGAATTTACCTATTTTAATATGTAGCAAGAAAACAAGTCCGGTGACCCCATTTTTTCTTTTTCTTATCTGAAAGCATGTTATAAGAGCTATCTTCTCACATTTTATCTTAAACTCTATGGTGTAGTTTTCTTTTTATCACACAAAATTGGATTTTCCATGCATAATCTATACAAAATCTGACAATTTTGCACAACCTGTAGCGTGAAAAAAAGTCCGGTGACCCATACTTTTTATAATATTTTGAAAACAAGCATGATAAAAACTACATTTTGACAAATTATTAAAACATTCTATGGATTTTAATTAAGACCCCCTATCCACCTTAACCAAATTTACCACAATCAAGAGATGGCAAAGGAAAAAATAATTAGCAATTCGGACATTCTAGGTGTCGGATGTGAAATTTCATAAGCATTTGTCTCTAATAAAAAGAAGCAATTATATGTCTTTGTGAATACTAAAAATTTATCTCTTTCTTGGCAAGTAGTGATATCAAAATTTGTGTGATGGTTATATGTTATATAGTAGATTATTTGTATTTCGCATAATAAACTTATTAGAGTTACTTGATTTTTTCAAATAAAAGATATAACTTTTGTTTTTACTTACTGAATAAAATTCTCATGGACTTATTAGAGTTAATTTTCCCAAAAAATAGAAGAATCCTGTTGGGTATTGGTCAGTGAAAAAGTATCCAACAACCAAAGAGAGAAAAGGATAATTTTAAGCTGTATATAAATGAATGATGATTTTGGGATGTTAAGCGATTTTTAAACTTTTAACCATGATAGCTGAAATGTAATGTTTATAAAGCTCAACTGTTTTGTATAAAAAAGCGCAAATGTCCTGCAGAAAAATCGCAAACGTCCTTTTTTAAGAAGCGTAAATGTCCATTTGAAAAATGCGCAAATGTCCATTTGAATAATGCGAAAATGTCCATTCAAAAAAGTGCAAATGTCCTATCAAAAAGCGCAAACGTCCCGCGCCGTCATTTTAACATCTACACATAAATTTTAAAGAATGGAAGAAGTAATTAACGATCGCTAATTAATTGTTTATTATTATATAATGACAACTTTATTACTAGTAATAGATACATTGATAATATAATCCGAACATTACATCAAGATATATATTGTGCATCATTTTTTACAAGGCGCACTATTTTTGTCAACCAAAGGGGTGCATGGTCATGTGACAGGGTGACCACCTCTTGGATACTTCTCTGGGTTCCCTATTATTATTCTGAACGCTCTACATTACAAATTATCTTTAGTTTAAAGCCTCAGTGTTCCGATGGTCCATTATGTTATTCGGTGACCACATTTATGAATAGATGCATTTATCATTTTACTGAAAATAGCAAATTTGGATGCAGAAAAGGCAAATTATAGTGACAGGTCTAGCTGTTTTGTCACAAATCATTGTACAATTATATCATTTAGTTTCCTTCATAGTCAAATAATAATGCTTTTCCATGTATAAAATCCTTCCAAAATATGAGAATTTTCAAGCCCATAGCTTTAAAACGAGCATGGTGACCTTTACTTTTATTATATATTTTATTAAATAGGGGGCTGGGATGAAATTTGAAAAAAGGCAGGACAGGAATTTTGAGTAAAAAAAAAGAGCAGGATGAGCAACTTGGTAAAACAAAGAGCAGGATGACAATTTATGCAAAAAAAATCAGGATAAACTAATGAAAAAAAAAGGCAGGACCGAATAGAGTGGAAAATAAAAAGGCAGGACAAAGATTACAACTAAAAAAAAGCAGGACAACATTTTTCATCCTAGCCCCCCCTCCCCGTAAAAATCAAATGGTAGCTCCCTAACTGGTATATTGTACATACGATATTTTAAACTACTAATGAATGCATAAAATAAAATTAAAAAATACATCTCAGAAGCATAATTATTTTATTTCTAAACGTAATTTAAATATCGAAAAACATGCCAAAAATGTAAATTTGTTGAACCGTTTTGCTAGATTTTGGTATTGGTTTTTTATACATGTATTTCATTGTACATTTTGAAATTAAAAACGTAACCGCATAAACGGTATGTGTTACCGTGCCATATTTTTCAGAGAATACTGAAAAATGCCGTCTTTGATCACTAAGTCTTGTCATATTTTGATGTCAATCACGTGACGACGCCTGTAAAAATTTAAACGACAATTCCCGTCCATCTAGAAATCATGTCACAACAACTGAAGACAAAAAAAATATGATTTACATTCTTTTTGGATAAGGACAGAACATTACTTTTGTCGATTACTTGTAAAGCTGTTTACGCTTACACTATGTTTTTTTTTGTTGAATTTTATATTCCTGTGATCAACTTATGACAACGGAATACTGAATGTTTTCGGATTGTCAATGATATAACCATAAAAATCGCAGGGATTTTAATTACAACAATATTTATCGAAAGACCATTATATAAATTAGTATAATTTAGTATTGTAAATAGACTAGAGAAATTTGGACAGTCAATATGATAGAAATGTTTCAGGAGTCTTAGTAAGTATTTTGTTTAACCCTTGATTTGTCCAAAGCACATACTTTTTTACAAAGTTTTCGAGATCAGTGTCGTCTGCAGCACACATGAATCAGTCACCGAGTCTGTGAAGAAGGAAGCCATTTTATAAAAATTAAGACATAGATTTATTCCAGGCTTACATAAATATATATGAGAACATTTGAACAACAACAATTGGGAATGGCAGAAAAATAAAAGAGTCTAACAAAACAATGATATATACATTATGAACATTTGCTTTTTGAATGTGTTCATATAACTTGTACCAGTTATTTTAATTATGAAAGTATATTACATCGGAGGAATAAGCAAAGTAATATCAACAAGAGGCTCTCAAGAGCCTGAATCGCTCACCTGTAATTTTTTGCTTAAATCTTTCATCAATGATTATTTTTACTTTTCAATATATTGTAATGAGGGGCTTAAAAATGCCATTTAAAGCATTAATGTTCTTTGTATCTGTCATATTTTCTTCAAAAGCAAAAAAATGCATTTTACCCCTATGTGCCATAGTGGCTATGTTTCTAGACGTACAAGGAAGTAAAATACAAAATTTATACTAGATACTCTGAAACTCATTAAGCCCAAGTTTGGCTGAAATTGATTCAGCAGTTTCAAAGGAGAAGATTTTTTAAAGTAAGCAAACTAGATGAACAAACTGTGAAAAATTATCTTTAAAGGGCAATAAACTTATTTGTAGATCTTACTTTGCTGAACATTTTTGCTGTTTACAGTTTATCTTTATCTATAATAATATTCAAGATAATAACCAAAAACTGCAAAATTTCCTAAAAATTACCAATTTAGTGGCAGCTACCAAACAATGGGTTGTTAAATTCATCTGAAAATTTCAGGGCTGATAAAACTGGACCTAATGAGCATTTTTACCTGTCAGATTTGCTCTAAATGCTTTAGTTTTTGAGATATAAGCCAAAAACTGCGTTTTACCCCTATGTTCTATTTTTAGCCATGGCGGCCATGTTTTTTTTAAAGAAACAGAAAAAATAAAACACAAATTTTATTCTAGATACCCTAAGAATCATTCAGCTTAAGTTTGGTTGGAATTGGTTCAGTAGTTTCAGTAGAGAAGATGTTTGAAATAGTTTACACCGGACGGACGATGACGGACGACGACAGACGATGACGGACGATGACGGACGCCAAGTGATGGCAAAAGCTCACATTTCCTTTGGAAAGGTGAGCTAATAAAGGTGACAGCATTTATATGGAAACGTGTTTTGAACGATATATAATCAGGGTTGTTACTCACTTTATCTATCTCCATCTGTCCCATATCTACTCAGAGTAACATAGAAATAGTTATTCATAATTATGATTCTTAAACTTAGATTAGATAATATTTTTGTCTCCCTCTCTCAAACTCTTTGACACTCCCTTTCTCACGGTCTCTTTCAAACTCTTTGCAATCCATCTTCTTCATCTTTTACATTCTCTTCTTTTTCTAAATTAACTCATTACACTCGTTATGTCTCTATCCTCTTTACATAGTAGTCCCTCTTTTCCCTCTCATCACTCTCTCTCTCTCTCTCTCTTGTCTTACTCATTCATTTTCTTTGCCTTTTACATTCTCTTCAATCTCTCTCTCTCTCTCTCTCTCTCTCTCTCTCTCTCTCCCTGTTTAACTCATTGCACTCGTTCTTCAGTATCCCTCTTTACACATTAATACTCTCTTCTTCTATTACGTCACTCTCTTTCTCTATCTCTAACTCTTTAAAAATTCATCCTTTTCACCTTTTAAACTCTCTTTATGTCTCTCTTATATATTTACACACTCTTATGCTGATTTTTATAAAAATGTGATTTGTGCATAAGATATATCTAAATAAAAAAAATAAGGAGATGCGGTATGATTGCCAATGAGACAACTACCCATCAGTGACCAAATGACTTAATGCATGCTTTATATACTCGACAACAAAAAAAGGTTATTACTATACAACTGTGCATTGTTTTAGGCTTCAGGAGATCTCATTGGACATTATGAACCTATATAAATGCTTTTTTTTTTTGCATAAAAACAAGAAAGTGTGGTATCATTGCCAATGAGACAACTTTCCACAAGGGACCAAATAAAAGTGTGGTAAGATTGCCAATGAGACAACTTTCCACCAGGGACCAAATGAAGTAGAAGCTAACAATTATGGGTCACCGTACGGCATTCAAGAATGAGAAAAAAATCATATATATCGCAAAGCAAGATATAAAAGATCCTAACATGATAAATGAAAAAAAAAAAACCAATTTAAACGAGAAAAAAAATGACGACCTGATTTATGTACAAGCAATACACAAAAACACATATGATATACAGGAACAAACGCCAACAAGTAAACTAAAGGATCCTGACTTAGGACATGCACATACAGAATGTGGCGGGGTTAAACATTTTTTTGGGGCGTCCAACCCTCCCCTAACCTGAGATAGTGGTGTAAGAGCACAACATAAGATTCATTAGATAAATATAAAGCACAAAAACAACTGACAGAAATACTTAAGACAAAAAGAACCGATATGAGCGTCTTCGCAATTACTGAAAACTAGTTCAAAGTCAATAACAACTAACAAAAGAATCCTATATCCAAGACGAAATATCAATAAATGCCAAAATATAAGTATCGACAGTTTGTAGATCAGTAAGTGTTAATAACTGCATAGGAATACAAATTTATTTATGTTTTAATTTATTGATAACAAAATAAATATTTTCTTTACCAAAAATTGAGTGGATGAGAACAAATATTATATGACTCACCTTTCCAAAATTATGTTTAATGTTGTTTTGGAAAAAGGACCAATTGACAAAAAATAAATTTCTTATTATAAAACACAATTAGCTCATTCTTTCAATAATATCGCTTATCAGATAAACTTTAAAGAAAAGCTTGTACTTGTTAAATGACTGAATACAAAAGCATGATGCAATATCTGTTATATATAAGTTATATTTCACAAACATGTGATATGCTTAACACATGTGAAAATCACTATCTAATCACTGATTTCAATAGAATTTCAGCATGATCAATACACTATGTTGATTAAGAATTGCTTATTTTTGAGAAGGGACTTTTCCGCTTGCCATAAGCCAAAGTGTGTTCATCACACGAAAACAACCATTTCAATATAATGCAAGAACACATCAAACTGGTTTTCAATCCAATGACATAACATTGGTATTTTCATTGCACCTTTTACGAAAAGGATGTCATTATGAGTCCACCAGCATAAAAAGAAATAATGGCGAATGTGACACAAATACATAAATTTCATTTTTTGTCGCCAAGAAATGAATAATTGTGTTGTTCCTCATTCTTAGTGAATGATTCATATGCATGATCTTGTCTGTCTTGAAGGGATTCATATTTGTCTTCTGGCATATTATCCTTGTCTTTAGGCTTTTTTTCAGAAATTTCAAAATTCTCGTATTCAGACTGTGGTTGCATTGATTCATACGCATTTAGATTTGGTTTAGTTTTCACCACAGGCTTTGCGTTTTCGTAGGTTAGATCTGTTGTGTTATAGTATAACGATGGTGACATTGGTTCACTCACGGACTTAGTAGCTGAAAAATTAGGATAAATGTAGCTGTCAGTTAAATTTCTTTCATGTGTTGATAAAATTATAAGGAAGGCTCAAGCTGTCATTTTCATTCATGATACAGTATATGTGACAATATTCAATAGTTGTCATATAGGTCCTTGTATGCTTTAACATGCGTTGTCGTAAAGGATGTACTGTTCGTGTGTCAATATGTTGTATAGTCTCTTCCTACCAAATTCGAATCGTGAGAACGTATTGTAAAATGAAAAAAATGACTGGTCTTTGCAGTATCAATAAATAAAATAATAACACATCAAAACTCCCTTTAACGGTATTATACGTTACTTTCCTGTATCATACTTCACATAAAAATACCAGATTTGGATTGGTTAATAAGAAGGAGTCAATTTACTCTATTCCACGGTTCAGCAGGAGACATTGTTTTATTATTATACTTCACGTACAAATGCAATATTTTGATTGGCTTATACGAGGGTGTTAATTTACTCTATTCTAAGGTAAATACTCTATTACCCTTCACGGAGACGCTTGATCAAGTGTGCGCTTTATTAAATACGGATGGTTGTTATGTACAAGACGTCATAGTTTATTACTTTGAATTTGAAATTTAATCGACAGTAATAACAGAACATTCAGTATAATAAATTAAATAACACATATCTGAGAGGGTGATAAGCAGATTGTTTCCCCTCGAAAAGACATTGTCAACCTTGGCTTCGCCTCGGTTGACAATGTTTTCTCGGGGTAACAATCTGCTCTATCACCCTCTCAGCTATGCGTTATTTATATAATGCAACCCTCTGATGCAGATCAATCAAAAAGATGATTTAAAAGACAATGAATTGAATTTACATCAACAATTCTAAAGACAATGCTAAAGTTCTACATTTTTGTTCATAGATTATCAACATAATAAATAATTTTTTCTTCACTTTTGTTACTTTTCTGACTGTAACGATGTTATGCACATTAAGTCATAGATTATTACGTCCAATTTAAATTTAAAAGACCGTGAAATAATGACAGAACATTTGTATGATAAATCAACTAACACATTATATAAATAACACATAGCTGAGAGGGTGATAGAGCAGATTGTTACCCCGAGAAAACATTGTCGACTGAGGCGAAGCCTTTTTCGAGGGGTAACAATCTGCTCTATCACCCTCTCAGATATGTGTTATTTAATTTATTATACTGAATGTTCTATTATTACTGTCGATTAAATTTCAAATTCAAAGTAATAAACTATGACGTCTTGTACATAACATCCATCCGTATTTAATAAAGCGCACACTTGATCAAGCGTCTCCGTGAAGGGCAATAGAGTATTTGCCATAGGATAGAGTCGTATTTAATAAAGCGCACACTTGATCAAGCGTCTCCGTGAAGGGTAATAGAGTATTTACCATAGAATAGAGTAAATTAACACCCTCGTATTAACCAATCCAAATCTGGCATTTTGACATGAAGAATAATAATATATAAATAACACATTGTTACTCCTCGAAAAAAATCATTGTCAACCTTGGCTTCGACTCGGTTGACAATGTTTTCTCGGGGTAACAATCTGCTCTATCACCCTCACAGCTATGTGTTATTTATATACCGAACCCTTTAAAATATAATATATTTGTAGCAAATACTAGTATCCATTTGGTTCCGTTTGATGCAAGATCCTTTGACACATTATAATCAATGCATATAATATCGTTATACCAATAAGGAGGTGACAATACATATCAATACACAGTGGCGGATCCAGAAATTTTTATAAGAGGGGGCCCACTGACTGCCTAAGAGGGGGCCCGCTCTAGTCACGTTTCAGTGATTCCTTATATAATCAACCAAATTTTTCCCGCAAAAGGGGGGGGCCCGGGCCCCCCCCTAAATCCGCCTCTGATACATTTCACGTTAAAGCAACATTTAATTACGTTACAACACTGTATCAATTATGGAACACATTGAAAACTTCAACTGTAAAACAATTTTGTATCATACTTACGTTTCTTTTTTGATTCGGGCTTTATCAATTTGTTTTTGTTGGAAAGACCCGATGTTCCAGTTCTAAAAAAAAATAAACAAATAAACAAATATATAACATTTAAGTCAAAATTTATAATCATAGGGTATGCCAAAAGTTATAAAAGCTAATCACATACATTTTGTAGAACATTCGAGGCACACACAACTTTAGTTTAGCAAACAACTATATCTTATATTCAACATTTACGTATGCATGCCTTGTTAAATGTCTTATCATTCTTCATTGCCACTAATTCGCCTTCATTTTTTTTTTTCATTCGGTGGTTGAAAGTCTATGATTTTCCTTAAAAAATCCGGCATTAACCATAAAACACAAAACATGGTTCCATTCATTATTGTTATTCCCAGTGTTTAGGTTTGTGCTCCTTGCAATTTTCCAGTTAAGAAGTGTTTGTATGGAATTTTTGGTCCTCCGTGCTCTTCAAATTCGTACTTTATTTGGCCTTTTTACTTTTTTTATTCGAGCGTCACTGATGTGTGTACAAAATTATAAGCCTGGTATCTTTGATGGGTTTTATTCAAAAGATATGTTCTTATTATTTAATTAGTTCACAATACCTAATTTGAGGCAAAGTTATGATTTTGATTTTTTTTTTAATCAAAGATGCTTGCTTACCCTCTTTTCACCCGTACAACATAAAATACAAAAACAACAGCTACAATGGCTAACAAAACAGCAAGAATAACAATGGCCACCAGACTACCTGCACAATACAAGACACAAACATATTTCAAAGTAATATGACAAAACAATCATATACAAAGTATAGATATAAAAAAAAAAATGAACCAGAAAGATATATTGAATTACATATCCTCAAAATGGAATTAGATGCTTCTTTATATAATTAAGGTTCAGATGGTTATCAGTTATATGAAATGTTTTCTTGTTATTTGTCAATTATACTCAATCAATCAATCAATCAATCCAAATTTATCATTATTTGATTTCTTCAAAAGTTCCTATCAAATGTAGCCCTCTCTAAGAACACTTTGTAAGAACATTCTCGTGTACAGATGAAATTGTTTTTTGTTTGTTTGTTATTTGTCAAAACATTGCCTTGATTTTATCTCGACAATAAAGTTTACATCAAATATAGCCATCTCTAATTACTGGGTGTTCTAAAGCACACTCTCTTGTAATAATTAAAAAAAAATCTTGTTATTTGTCCAAACTTGGTCATGATTTTATTTGGTTCCTAAAGTTCGTATCATATACAGCTTTCTCTAAATACCTGTTTTTATTGCGGAACACTCTCCTGTCTGGATATTACACGTATCACAGTCTTTACATCTCCCAAAGCAATAACTTCCAAAGGTTCCAGGTTTACAAACTAACCAAACAATATTATACTATTATATAATTTTCAGCAACAGCCTTTCGGAACATAAACTAATACATGACGGATAATACCACAACACACTTTATTTTAAACTTGACCTTGAAACGCGTGAAGAATAGATGTTACCAAAAGTACTAAATGTATATTATGTAAACCTATATTGCACAATGCTGAAGCGAATTTTGTGGCATTCTTGTCTTGTCACTTGTTCCATTCTCTGTATATGTTACCAAAATGGCATTCACATATATTTGCATGTCATCTGTTTTATTGAAAAGATGTTTTGTAATCCGCGTAAATGTTATATCTATTTTATTATTTTCCATAATAATCTATTGGGCATGCGTTAAAATGAGTGTCGGACACGATGGTGCATGTAAGTAACAACTTGTTTTTAATGAAGGTAGATCCAGAAAAGCGCTTCGGATGCGCGAAATTTATTAAGTGATAATTTCTTTCTAGCACTGGATCGATACCACTGCTAATGGAATATTGGTACCCGAGGGTAGAATCAGGTAGTACTCCACTGTAACAGATCTAGAATTATGAGGATCAATTTTAATTTTAATTCCTTATTGTGAAATGCAACCTCAACTCATTAGTTAGTGATTTGATACTGACATGATTCTTACATTAGAAATTTATCCTTTTTTGATAGATCAAGAAATTATAAAGAAACTAAGGTTCCAACCCCCTCAGTCAAAGTTGACCTTGTATGAATTTGGTGATTCTTTTTTTTTATTTAGTTTCATCATTAAGCTCGTAACGTGTCTACGTATTGACACATCCATGGCCTTCAACTGTTTGGGCGTTCTTGATGAAAATCCAGAAAAGCGCTTCAAACGTACGAAATTTATATAGTGTTTTTCCATTTACTAGCTTCATGTCTAGGTCGATACCACTGCTAGTAGACTGTTCGTCACCAAGGGTCATCAGCTCAGTAGCCAGTGATTTAATACTGATTCATAGCATACTGTTGTAAATTTCTCCCTTAAAAGGTTCCAAACTCCATCAGGTATAATTTGCTCGTAGATGAATCTGGTTACTAGTATTAATTTCAAGGCAATTTTGGTCATATATCTTCTATCGTTTCTACATTCTTACACATCCCTCGCTTTCAAATGTTTAGGATTGAGCGTTCCTGATGAAGATAAATAAAAAAAAAAACGATTCGTACGCACGACATTTATAAATTGTTATTTCCGTTTCATTATTCTCATTAAAGCTAAACGCACTATTAAATGTTCAAGATTTTCAGCAATTGACACAAATCGAAACAATTTTTTAATCTTAGGTATATGACTGAATGAATTACCTTCATTACAAGTGGTTCCGGTCCATCCTGGTTTACAAATACAGTCTCCGTTAACAGCATCACATACATCAAAGGCATTTCCGGGACACAAACATGTTCTGGAACAGTTATTACCAAACGTCCTATCAGGACACACTGAAAGATAAATCTGTATGTTTATACATCTATTAACAGGGATGTCAAAGAAATATATACACTTATTCATATAGTCTGAGATCCGTACCCACGACACGTCGCACATTTTTAACTTTTAAAGCTCATGAAAATAGATGTAAACAATCAAAATTTTAAATTTTCATCATTCCAAAAATTCCATTTTACTCCTTTTACCTTACATGTTAGAAAGTTCCAGTTACTGAGTTTCAATTTAATATCCGTCTGGTAAAGAGTGAAATATTAGTAAGTTATGGAACATTGGTTAGAATTAATATCAATAATTTTCTCTTATAGAAAGGGGGGAATTAACACATAATTATTTGAGAACGAAAGCAATAAGTTTATTTATTAGTCTTCAGTTAACGAAGTACATCAGAATAATTACCATTTTCACATCGTTTTCCGATGTATCCTATTTTACAAAGACATGTTCCATTTGTATGTTTACAGTTTTCTGTATTATCTTCTACACATTGGCAGTTCTGTGAGCAGTTGTTTCCGAATTTCATATTTAGGCATACTGTAATACATAATAGAGAATAAACAATGTATGATTAGTCAACAATAAACATCAGCCTCGATCTGTAGTCTCGTGGAAGCGTGGCCACCTTAGGATTCGATCCCTGGTCGGATCATAATAATGTGTACTTGTGTGGTGACAGGTTCTCGTCTCGTTTGAATATGCATGCAATATTTGCCACTGGACGTTCAACAGCCATTCATTCATCCATTAAATACAAAGCAATTAGAAAGCATTTTTTGATAATATGACTCTTATCATTTATTATCATTTTCATACTGTCACACATTATACATTAACGTTCAGATCTTCTACACACATGTGCATGTCAAATGATTTAAAAGTGTTCTTTGTTAAATTAAAGAGAGGAAAAAGAATGATGCTAAACGTAGAAGTAGTAATCATTTGTCTGGATATAATGACTTTTTGTGATGTTCAATAATATCTAAATAGAAAATCTGAACTGAAAGAAAATAACTTTATCACAGTCATCCGATTTTGGTGGGTCAGATTCAGGGAGTTTTCTAAAACAGTATTCTGGAAGTTGGAATGCCGAGACATTTCTTCCAGTCAACTGGTGACTAGCAATATCTACTGATGTATGGATTAAAGTTTGCTTCGTGTTCTGGTTGAACATTTTTTTTTTTAATCGAGCCTCACTGATGAGTCTTTTGTAGACGAAACGCGCGTCTGGCGTACAAAATTTGAAGCCTGGTATCTCTAATGAGTTAATTCGTGTGATGATAAGTCATACTTACTCTGATTACAAGATGATAAGTCATACTCTGACTACAAGATTATAAGTCATACTTACTCTGATTACAAGATGATAAGTCATACTTAGTCTGATTACAAAATGATAAGTCATACTTACTCTGTTTACAAGGTGATAAGTCATACTCACTCTGATTACATACTCACTCTGATAACAAGATGATAAGACATACTCACTCTGATTACAAGATGATAAGTCATACTCACTCTGATTACAAGATGATAAGTCATACTTAGTCTGATTACAAAATGATAAGTCATACTTACTCTGTTTACAAGGTGATAAGTCATACTCACTCTGATTACTCACTCACTCTGATAACAAGATGATAAGTCATACTCACTCTGATTACAAGATGATAAGTCATACTCACTCTGACTACAAGATGGTAAGTCATACTCACTCTGATTACAAGATGAAAAGTCATACTCACTCTGATTACAAGATGATAAGTCATTCCTTACTCTGATTACAAGATGATAAGTCATACTCACTCTGATTACAAGATGATAAGTCATACTCACTCTTGATTACAAGATGATAAGTCATACTCACTCTGATTACAAGATGATAAGTCATACTCACTCTGATTACAAGATGATAAGCCATACTTACTCGAATTACAAGATGATAAGTCATACTTACTCTGATTACAAGATGATAAGTCATACTCACTCTGACTACAAGATGATAAGTCATGATACTCACTCTGATTACCATACCTACTCTGATTACAAGATGATAAGTCATACCCATTGGTGGCCTTCGGCTGTTGTCCGCTCTATGGTCGGGTTGTTGTCTCTTTGACACATTCCCCATTTCCATTCTCAATTGTATTACTCTGATTACAAGATGATAAGTCATACTTACTCTGATTACAAGATGATAAGTCATTCTTACTCTGATTACAAAATGATAAGTCATACTTACTCTTTTTACAAGAGTTTCCAATAAACCCAGGCTTACAAGTACATGCTCCAGTTATATGATTGCATGTTCTAGTCCCCAGTTTCGAACATGGACAGTTCATAGAACATTTTAAACCATATTTTCCTTCAGGACACTCTGAAAAAATGACTGAATTAACAGGGCGAAAAACTTTTCTCAAACAAAATAGAACAGCTTAATCAAAAGAAACATCTTTGGCAAATTTATGAATATAATGTTGGTGGCAGACTTATGATAGTTTTTAGCTTGACATATTGTGTAGACAGCTGTATATTGGTGACCATAAGACCATTTGTTGATCTCTAGAAAGTTTTTTGTCGGGTTGCTGTCTCAATGATGCATATCCACATCTCTTTTCATTCTTATTGATATTAAATCTGTTGGTTATTCTGATGCTAGCGCGATAAACTTTAAATATTTATTTCTCGAATACGTGTTTTCTAACAAGCAGAATTTTATAAATTAGCACTTTGTCGCATCTGCGATTCTTAAGTTTTAAGCCTACTAGGATTTTACTCACTAGATTCGCATTTAGATCCTTGGTAACCAGGGATACAAATACATGCCCCGTCTGTATTTTGACATGACGATGTCGTATCCTGTTGACAGTTGCAATTGTTTTGACAATTTTGTCCGAATTTCCATTTCTGGCATACTGTAAAATACAGGATGGAAATTATGTTTTATTTTTCAAATAAACTTCTTTGTCGTATTTGAAAATGTTCTCACATTCCATTAGCAGAACTTTGAAATATTGTCTCTTATTTCAAGAGCAATTTCAGACGGAAAGAACATAACTTATTTTAAAATCAAGAAAAAGTGACAATGTCCCAAAATAATTCAATCGTTTAATATCCATTTACTCACATTTTTTAAAAGATTTGATTATTTAAACTTATTTTTCCTAATTTTAGCGTTATCCTTGCTCTGATTTTTAAACAATAGTAATTTCAACAAACAGCTAACACAATGTATGTTTTAATATATCTAATGGAAATGACCCGTCCCCGCTCCGTATGGAGTTCAGGCAACTTAAACGTGACCAGAAGTGTGATAAACTGACGTTCATTTACTAATATGTGAAGAATGAGCTGTTAGCATTTCAATAAAAACAAATCTGAATCATTATCAATAAGTGTAATTGAAAAATTTGTATTTAAAATACATGTTTTAATATACCGAAAAAAAACTTAGGCATTTCTATTTTTGCAGAGTGTATATCATAATATATGTTGTGTACAATTATAATTTGTATTTTGACTTTCAAGTTGTACAAATTGTAATTTGTACAAAAAGTGCTTGTACAAATTACAATTTGTACAAAATTTGACTAAAATTCACTTATAACTTGTACAATAATTTATAGTATGTATTTTTTTTATAAAAAAGCATTGATACACACTATAGAATTTTTATTCAATGACCACACACGTAACCTTATTTACAAAACACAAAAAAAAACAAACCCAGGTGGAAACAGGAAATGCAATGGATACATGTATTGTAACAAGAAAATTAAGATGTTACTATCCATTTATTTGTAATATGAGATATATATGGTTCCAGTTGTTTCTCTGTAGACTCCCAACAGAAGAACTACATCTGTGAGAGCTGATACTGGGTCTTTACATGTTGGGGGAAACTAGCTGTGAACAATGCCGATGATGATGTATGGCATTGCTGCCGATGTAAAGGCAGGCCGGGCGTTGTTGCCGATGTAGAGGCAGGCGGGGCGATGTTGCCGATGTAGAGGCAGGCCGGGATCGACTGACACCTATAAGTTTCAAAATTGAAACTTTTAATGAAATAAGTAAAACAAAAAGAATACAAAACAGTTACAAACAGCAATAAAGTAAAATAATTATTTTCAATTATTTCCCTAATAGAAAACAAAAAATATTTCGATAAAACTTTATTTATGGAAACTCTTGATTACCTTTAATTTAAATTTTACTTGTTGAAAAATATTTTACCTTAAATTTTAATAATTTCAAAATCATGACTTACCTATAAGTTTCAAAATTCAAACTTTGACGTCTCAAAGCAGAATTTGTACTTATATAGCAATCATTTATTTCATGGTATGCCAACATCAGACTTCTTATACGTTCAGGTATTTCACATCCAATTTTTTATGGAAATATTCTGTATAAAGCACAAAAATGTCAGTATTCACCTCTGAAGCTAACAAAACCTTCAAATAGACTTATTAAGAAGGGATATAGTTACGATACTGTTGTCAGGTCATTAAAGATTGCATATTTTGGCGCTAATATTGATTCACTTATAGGGTCTTTGCATCGGCACTAAACACATTTATTTAAAAACCAGTTGTTGGCATGACACGGGTTATGTTCTTCTCATATATGTTATGATGGTATGATACTAAACTCCTAACGGGAAGGATTGTGCCTGATATTCATATGATGAAGACATAATCTTTCAATCAGTTTAATTGAAGTCTGGAGCTGGCATGTCAGTTAACTGCTAGTAGTCTGTTGTTATTTATGTATTATTGTCATTTTGTTTATTTTCTTTGGTTACATCTTCTGACATCAGACTCGGACTTCTCTTGAACTGAATTTTAATGTGCGTATTGTTATGCGTTTACTTTTCTACATTGGCTAGAGGTATAGGGAGAGGGTTGAGATCTCATAAACATGTTTAACCCCGCCGCATTTTTGCGCCTGTCCCAAGTCAGGAGCCTCTAGCCTTTGTTAGTCTTGTATTATTTTTAATTTTAGTTTCTTGTGTACAATTTGGAGTTTAGTATGGCGTTCATTATCACTGAACTAGTATATATATTTGTTTAGGTGCCAGCTGAAGGACGCCTCCGGGTGCGGGAATTTCTCGCTGCATTGAAGACCTGTTAGTGACCTTCTGCTGTTGTCTGTTCTATGGTCGGGTTGTTGTCTCTTTGACACATTCCCCATTTTCATTCTCAATTTTATCACTTTCTTTGTCAGCATAAAATTAGAAATGATCAAATATGGTTATTGTCCGAAATAGGATCGACAAGTTGTATAAGTAAAATAAATGTCCCGTATATAATAGAGAGAGAGGTCACTTTTACAATGGTGATAATAAATAAACTTTACTTGACCGGAGACAAATGATATAAAACGTGATAAACATAAAATCGAAGGAATAATTGTAACATCATCTATATCCAAAATTTATGTCAAATATCTGTCACAATATATTTACATGCATGCCAGTTAATTCTGATAGTACAATAGAAATTGGCCCCGGTGACAATTCTCATAGAATAATAAAAATTGGCGCCAGTGACAATTCTGATAGTATAATAGAAATTGGCCCCAGTGACAATCAGGATGACACTGACGTCGAAACACCAATCATACATGCCAGGAAGCGTGCACTGTCTGACAAACAGATCCAAGCTGAATATCTAACCAAGAAAACGAAACGAAAAATTTAAATTATCAGAACTTGCTGTGGAGGATAATGTCATTATACCAATCCCTCAGTATGATCGTACCCCAACTGATCCTCGAAATATCTTAGGTGTAATTATTGAATATGGAGAATTTGGGTACTGCATTGGAACAGCTGTAGGAATTTTAACATGATATTTGTCAAGAAATTAAATTGAACTTTTCTTCGCAGCAACGGTTCCTGAGCTTCAACGTTCGCTACGTGAAGCAGTTAAATAGCTTTCAATAACTGGTGGTCAGGGGTTTCTTTCATGTAAATGCATACGGGGTGCAGCACTTCTAAATGTAAATGTAAAAAGCAAAAGATGTTGTGCAATTCCCGATGCCATGATTCACTCACATGCTCAAACAAATGATACAGAACTATTTTTGTATTTTGTAAATAAGGTTTATTGTGTGGTCATTGATTAAAAATTCTATAGTGTGTATCAATGCTTTTTTATAACAAAATCCATACTCTTAATTATTGTATAAGTTATAAGTGAATTTTAGTCAAATTTTGTACAAATCATATTTGTACAAGCACTTCTTGTACAAAATACAATTTGTACAAAGTTTTTTTTTTCTTATTCTAATGAAAATTATTTGCAATATACATGTACATAAGTGAATATGCAGATAGTTTTGCAACACTTACCAGTCTGGCAACTTTTTCCAATGTAACCTGGTTTACATGTACAAAAACCATCAGTATTCCGGCAGTTTGCTGTGTTTAGACGATTACATGTACAGGATTTTGAACATCGTTCACCATATTTCCAATTTGAACATTCTGTAAAGTAGACGCAAACTCACTTACAAATACTAGTATAAAACAGTCATGAAGCTAACAAGTTTTTGCAAACTAATATGTATCCGGATTCTGGATATTTTTGTTTTTCTGACAGCCAGGCGCCCTTTTCGTAAAAACCGCCTCCAGCTTGAAAATCACAGCAAGCACAGTTTGATGATAATTTCTATAAACACACTGTACCTAAAACCCAGTTATACGTAAAGATGAAGAAAAAGAATATCATCTCTATTAGAACATCTGGATAATAGTTAACAATCATTCTTACGGACGGGCGAATAATGGTAATGAAAAACGTTACAGTACACAAAATCAAATAAAACATATGTCCAAAAAGTGTACAACAACAACATAATAAGAAAAAAATGAATATAAAAAGTTCAAACACCTATAGTAATTTCGAATAAAAAATATCCATTATCAGAATCTATTGTCTGATGAAAAATTGCTACTAATTCTTCTCTAACATCCTGAAATTTGTACATTAAAAACAAACCGAACATAATCATTTGGTTTAACGTTAATTGTTATAGTGGAGCAAAAATTGCTTATCCTTCTGGAGAACCTTATTGTGGCTCTAGTATTAATTGGGTGCACTTTTGACAATCATTATTCCCAAAATTTCTAAAGAAAGTTAGGAGATATTATAATGGGTATTTTGTCCATAATTAATAATTACTTGTTCATTGAATTGCATCTTTAGCAATAGCAGGTCCAATAATGGATTAACATATATATTGGGTGCATTGATAATCATAAATCCCGAGGCTGATAGGTACATTATATTCATTCATTTTGACGATTGTCGTATTTTTATACTTTAGATGTGCCTGCTATTTACATAAAATGTGTATACTGTAAAACATCCATTAGAAAAAAGAAGATTACTTACTTTGACTGCATGTAGTTCCTTCCCATCCAATTTTACATGTACATGATCCATTAACATGGTTACAATTTTCAGTATTTCCTGTGACACAGCTACAAGTCTTACCACAGTTTTCTCCAAATTTGCTGTTGGTGCATGCTAAAAAAACCGAAAAGGCTCTTTTGATAAAATATTGTTAAGTCGTCTAACTTTGAAACAAGAAGGGGAATTTCGCAATATTTATTGGTTCTGTTTATTGGAAAAAAGGGAATTCTGAAATTATTATTATCAAATTTGTTTACATGAAGAACATTTATCTCAATTTATCTACAGTATATGTCGGTGTTAATACGACGTCTGTTCATATAGCACTCTAATAATATGAGTTTATAATTTTTATACTTTACGGTCGTACCAAAATTTCGACAACCTTGCCTTCTAACCTTTATGCGTATGTAATATTGCGTAGAATTGATTTGATCTCCACGTCTCTATCATTTAAATTGGATTCATAGGGCCCTCTAATTCACATACAACCCCAAAACGAGTGAATATTCCAATTAATTTTCATCAAATAATTCATGGGACTATTGGTAACAAAGCAATTTAATAACCTAGCGGTCATCTTCCGCTGAGCAAAAGGACCGAAGCAGAGATGGAATTCTAGTAATTCATTCGAATATGACCGAAAGGTCCATAAAATACAAACTAAAAAAATTACGTTTAAACTAAATACTCGTTTTCACTATTATATGTTATATATTTAGGTTTTTTCTCGGTAGCATGTCATCTCAAAACTAGTATTGAATTTCATATTTTTCACCTCCTACAAGCGATCTATTTTAGTTTCTCAAATGAAGTAAACTGATACAGATTTTCTTAAACAGAAGAAAAAAAAACACAAAGAAAAACTTTTTTATTTACCTTGAAATATATATTCATGGCAGCCTTCAATGAATAGGGGATAAAAAAAATCTATTAAAGTTTGAGGTATATTGATAAAAAAAAAGAGTTCCCAAACATCTTCTGTTAGAATCTGTTAAAACCCCGATTCTCGTACTGACGACAGCTGTTTATGGAATAATCTTTATCAGATGCATCAAAAGGTGAAAAAGACAAAAATATAAACGCTTAAGAGTATAAAAACTAAAAGGGACATCAACAGAAGAAGCACTCTCCAAGATAGTTGTAACATTAGTTTTAGTACAATTACATCATCTATAAACCTGATATTTTCAGGCACAATGACACATTCACATCAAGTGACATTCCAGTACAGGAGCACCGGGTATTGGCATCCGGTATCCTAAGAGATTGATAGTTCACCTATGGCGGCACTTAACCAGTAGAGTAGTAGGGTGTGACACATTTTATGTAAGAAGAAAACCCAAGGAGGACATGAGGGACCCTTATAAGGCATTCCCCGCCCCCTGTTTGTTTTTCATATGTCTTCGAAAATCATGTGGCCAAGCATTAACGCTTCGACATACCTTGCAACTGAACATCTTTACTTTTTCTGCATGTGTATACAACCTCCTCTTGTAGGTTTCTTGCGAAAATGCAGCAAGCAAAACTAATTAAACTATACAGTAATACGACCTATAAGGATTTCTGGTGACTAAATGTGAGGGACCAGGACATATCTCGAAACATCCTTCGGGCGACATACTTTGAGATTATCATCCCTCAAGACGAATGCAATTTAGTACAATTCGTTTCTGGTTACTTTGAGGGGAACTTGGTTTTTCATATACGATTTCCGCGATATCTTCGTTCAAAACCCCATACCGATTGAAGTATCGGCAGAGACATCTCCCGAGCGTACGTGTCGATCACAAAGTCCGAGCAAAATAAGACCCGTCTTGTTCGTGTTGGAAATTTCGGTACGAACGATAACTACCAGTGAACATTCCCATTTTCCGTCCAATATATAGCTTTTGTAAAGTTGAATCCTTAATGCGCTACAGTTATTATTTTCAAAAAGCGAAATAGAATCCTCGCTCGATACGTAAAGGTAAAATTCATCCATCGTTTAGCTACAAGTTTTGCTCCAGGCATTCTTATAGAGGTTTGATAGGTGATCAATTCTATGCAGTGATTTTTTTTCGATTTTAAAATAATTGATTTTTTTGATTTTTTTTTTCTTTAATTTTGAATTTTTGAATTTTAAATTTTTTATTTTGTTTTTTTTTTTAATTTTTAAAATCTTTTGAATATTTAAAATTTTCGAGTTTTGCGAACTTTTTTAATTTGAATTTTCCAAATAGGAGACATGCTCTTGTATGATGAACGTACCAACAATGCCGACTATGCGAGTTACTTAGACATGATGTCACGTTAGGGGTGGACACTATACCATTCTGTTTGAGGGATGTGGTCACTTAATAAGGGTGAACGATGTCTATGACTCATGATGATGAGGGTGGTTTTTAACGACCTTGACTACCCATGAGGGTCTTGCACGGTCGGCCCTGGCAAGATCATTTTTGAGATGATGTAACTTTTGGGCTGCGTCATCGGGCAATATCTGGTATGGACTTCCGGTGACGTGATCAGTGGGTGGGGAATGCCTTTAAAGGGCCCCTCCTGTGCTCCTTGGTTTTTCGACATGCATTATATGTATCACAAGCTATTACTCAGTAGTAGCAACGTAACATACAGGTGATACCAATTTCCGTGAACGTGTTTCTGGAATACATTTCAAAAAGGAGTATTTGATCGAGTTTATTGTTGTGTAAACTCAGATGAATCACTCACAATCTGAATGAAGTCCGAAGGACTTGATGTTAAGTTTTTGGGTAAAAGGCCGAGTTTATATATCTATTGACTCCATAAAAATAACCTGTATCATTTATAATTCAGATAAAATGCATCGCAAATTATGCCTAGATCAATTATTTCATAAACGCAGAGCTATTTCGTCTGTGTAGAACTTAATACTCGTGACGTGTTGTTAAGATGCCCACCAATGAAATAAGACAACCTACAACTTGGATTACGGTCTGAAACATACAATTCTAAATATTTTTTTCAGAAGTTGGTAGAGATCATTCAAAGTTTTACTATAACCTATGACACACACACACAATTATGGTTTCAACAAAGCATATAAGTGTATGGTATTAGCCTATCTCAGTTGAGAAAGTTAGAGTAAGATAGATAGAACTTGGTATTGCGATTTCACGTTAAAATCTTAGTGCGATCGACATGTTTTTCTGGGATAATTCCTAAACGGAAAAAAAAATATTACCATAAACAACGAAAACTACTGATGAGATTCCTGAATGATGACAGGGACATAACACGAAGTGTTTTTTTTTTAGTCAGCACCTGCTTTTGATCTCGAACATTAGAGGTAGTAAAGGTAGTAAAGGTACATTAAGCAGCCAACTCATATGAGAGAAAACAATTAACGTTCCAATTGTTTACTCATGAGTAACAATGTTTCTTCAACTTCGGTAGTTTTTTTACACAGGCACTTGTCTCTGAAACAAAATTCCCGTATACCTTAATATAACAGGTATATAGGAACTTTTTTTCTGAGACAAGTGCCTGTGTTTTATTTACTTTAAAGTATCGTGTTGAAAATATAAAAGTATATTACCGGAGTGAAATAGCCATGTGAATCCTGCAATTTGATAGGTTACCATGACAGGGTATATGAGCCCATATACCCTGTGAACAAAAACAAAGATCAGGATGGTATTATTTAATGTTGAAATCAGCACAATCCAGTATACATGTAATACAATTGTTATTCGTATTGTTATTGCTTCACATGGAATATGGGCTCATATTTCTCTGTCAGTGCCCTATATACCCTTCGCCTGATAACTCAGGGGATAAAACACTGACAGGGAATAAGAGCTCATATCCCCTGTGAAGATCTAGAATACCATATAATAACTATAGCTTATGTATTTTTTATATATTCACTCTATATACCTATACATTTTCCTGGTGTAGATTCTGTATATCCTGTACAACATAAGTAATTAGTCGTTGTTTTTGTTTTATTTTTCACTGTAGTCGTACTGCAATAGATAAGAACAGCCCGGTTTATTTTTTTAAAATTCTAACCCTATCGCGTCTCTAATACCTGATTTTGAATGTTTTTACGTAAAACCAACGCAATAACTTCAAAAATAAAGTATCTAAAATAGATTTGAATTAAACTATATAGTAATACGACCTATAATAACATAAACGGTACCAATTTTTCTGCACCAGATGCGCATTTCGACAATCAATGTCTCTTCAGTGATGCTCGAGGGCAAAATATTTGAAAATCCAAAGCTTATTAAAAAGATGAAGAGCTATAAACCAAAAAGGACAAAAAAGTATAGCCAAAGCTGGACAAGGAATCAGAGCTTTGTATCAGGGAGATACATTCCTTAATTTTAAATAATTTCCAAAATATTGTAACAGCAAATTTTAACGACATAAAATCCGTATTTTCATGCCAGTACCAAAGTAATGGCTACTGGGCTGGTGATACCCTCGGGGACTAACAGTCCTCCAGCAGAGGTATCGACTCTGTGGTAGTAATAACATAAACGGTACCAGTTTTTCTGCACCAGATGCGCATTTGGACAATCAATGTCTTTTCAGTGATGCTCGAGGCCAAAATATTTGAGAATCCAAAGCTTATTAAAAAGATAAGGAAATCTGGTGACTAAATGTGAGAGAACGGGAAATATCTCAAAACATACTTTTAAATGCGGTCTATAATTATACATGTTTATGACTAAAACAAACTAAAACAAATATGAAAGATTAGTTTATCCGAATATATTTGTGGGTAATCAAGGTCCGTATACTTGAACTGTTATCAAAATAAAAATAAGTTGTTGGGTATTATGGAGATGTCAAAGTGAAAAATAACACTGGTTAAGTAGTCGTTTATGATGAGATTAAGAGAAAACAAACATGAATTACGTGTATTACATATTCATTGTTTACTTTTGTACTTCTTAGCTTTTTACATAACACTGCAACAGGAAGCAATAAACAAAACCACACGACCATTTGTAATAAGGGGGAAACTTCTTGACTGTATACAATAATGTATGTAATATATTTACTTTACAACACAAACTGAAAATTCACTTAAAAACTTATTTCCTTAAAGAAAGTTGATTTCAGATAAGGATTTAAATTTACTCAATAATTAAATTTTCGTTTCTGTCTCAGGAAATCCTATTGAAGGTAACAAAATGTGTTTTTTTACGTATTAGTGTCACGCCTATATACTATAGATTTAATAATTCTGAACGAACTATGAAATATCATTTTAGTGGTTAAATCATTATAGCGGTAAATGTTCATGTTGTATTCGGTCATTTTTACAGTTGTATGCGACAAATGTGTATAGATTATTTTTCTTCCTCTTCAGTTCATTGAGACTATATTTCGTATTCATCTTTATTTTTTTATCCTATTTGATCCGTTTTTGCGCTAATACAGCATGTTACATTCACATCTCAAGAAAATCCAAATTGTTCACAGACAAATTTCATTAGGACAAGGTATAAATGTGCTCTTTGTGGATTTTTTTTCTCCCTTTCTTATATGATATTTATTACATGTATTTATAAAACACTTCACATGCCCAAAAATAACCGACACCGTAGAGACAAGAATCGCCCAGGAAGACACTTTATTGATTCAACCGTAACTAATTAAATATATTTTTTGTTGATTTTATATCAATTTTATGAAGGACGCTTGAAGTTCGTAATATAAAAAGATCCCTTAAAATATATAGGCCCTCATTGTATCGTTGGCAATTATACCATATCTCCCTTTTTATATGAATTAACAAAAGCTTTACAACAAAAACCAGAAGAGACACCGTTGTGTCAAATATGTAGTAAGAGCTAATTTGTAAGTGTATCAGACTTACATTGCACAAGGTCATGTTTTTCTCTGACGTCTTTACACTAAATCCATTGGATGTTGGATGTGTACTGATTGATAATTTAGTCTTAGATGCATGATTTTTTTATTAGTTGTTATTGGCTTTGAACTAGCTGTCAGTAATTGCGAGTACTCTCAGATTTGTACTTAGTGTCTTTTTGTTGTTGGGATGTACAAGTTCCCGTTCTCGTCCACTTTGTGTTTTTGTTAGATGTATTTCTATTTGTATCATCTGATGAGTTCAGGATGTATTCTTCTGACGTTTCAGTCTCGTTAAATATCTCGATCTGGAATTATTTCCAAAACATGGGATACAAGTGGAAAATATAACTGAATTTAAAAAATATTATAATCAAACTTACAATAAGTAGTTTTTTAGTAGTAAAATTTTCAAATCAGTCTCATTAGCCAAAATGTTGAGAAAATGGGTGATGGCATCTTCGCTAGCCAACATCTTTGCTAGCCAAGGGTTACGATCCACTTCCCTTCTCTCCACCCTTGGCAGATTGAGATAGAATTTCGGAGACGCAAGGTAATGATTTTCATTGGTTGCAGTCGAAACTCCCTGCATCCAATCAAAAAGCGCCCATAACATGATCACGTGTAAATGTAGAAAGTGTATGTAAACAATTGTCATGTGCTTATTGTGCAACAAGTCTTTACATCCCTAAACATACGACTATATTTAGTGACAATTTGACTGTTTTTAATCAACTAATAGAAGTTCCTGTGTATGTTTCTTGTACAAATGCATGAATTACAACGTATATTTTCGTTTTCTGCTTTACCAAGTGTGTAGAATCTAGACGCTACCGTGTTTTTACCTCCAAATTGAAGAGTTCAAGTGCTACCATTGGTCAAGAATAATGTATTCGGAATGGGCGTGACTTTAATCTACCGATAGATGGCGCAACATTGTTATTACAAATGTTGGCTTAATCTGCCAAGGGTTGAGAGAAGGGAAGCGGAGCGTAACCCTTGGCTAGCGAAGATGCTAGCCAAGGGTTACGATCCACTTCCCTTCTCTCCTTGGCAGATTGAGATAGAATTTCGGGAACACAAGGTAATGATTTTCATTGATCGCAGTCGAAACTCCCTGCATCCAATCAAAAAGCGCCTATAACATGATCACGTGTAAATGTAGAAAGTGTATGTAAACAATTGCCATGTGCTTATTGTGCAACAAGTCTTTACATCCCTAAACATACGACTATATTTAGTGACAATTTGAATGTTTTTAATCAACTTATAGAAGTTCCTGTGTATGTTTCTTGTACAAATGCATGAATTACAACGTATAATTTCGTTTTCTGCTTTACCAAGTGTGTAGAATCTAGACGCTACCGTGTTTTTACCTCCAAATTGAAGAGTTCAAGTGCTACCATTGGTCAAGAATAATGTATTCGGAATGGGCGTGACTTTAATCTACCGATAGATGGCGCAACATTGTTATTACAAATGTTGGCTTAATCTGCCAAGGGTGGAGAGAAGGGAAGTGGAGCGTAACCCTTGGCTAGCGAAGATGCTAGCCAAGGGTTACGATCCACTTCCCTTCTCTCCACCCTTGGCAGATTGAGATAGAATTTCGGAGACGCAAGGTAATGATTCTCATTGGTTGCAGTCGAAACTCCCTGCATTCAATCAAAAAGCGCTTATAACATGTCACGTGTAAATGTAGAAAGTGTATGTAAACAATTGCCATGTGCTTATTGTGCAACAAGTCTTTACATCCCTAAACATACGACTATATTTAGTGACAATTTGACTGTTTTTAATCAACTAATAGAAGTTCCTGTGTATGTTTCTTGTACAAATGCATGAATTACAACGTATATTTTCGTTTTCTGCTTTACCAAGTGTGTAGAATCTAGACGCTACCGTGTTTTTACCTCCAAATTGAAGAGTTCAAGTACTACCATTGGTCAAGAATAATGCGTGACTTTAATCTACCGATAGATGGCGCAACATTGTTATTAAAAATGTTGGCTTTATCTGCCAAGGGTGGAGAGAAGGGAAGTGGAGCGTAACACTTGGCTAGCGAAGATGGGGTGAGGGGTACAAGAAATGATTTTACCAGAAACATGTATATCCCATATCAATTTTTTTCTTTTCAAATTTCTTAGATATGTATTTTTCAATCATTTATAACAAAGAAGTTGAAATAATATACTTTTTGTTCTGAAAAAAGAGAAAAATCCCAAATTTACCAAATTGACAACATGGTAAATTTGACACGAAAAAGCAACAACATTTTATAAAATTTCTTATATTAACACCTACCTATAGTTTTTTAAGTTAAATTTATTCAGATTGGTCGACTTCATCTTTAAGGAAGGTATAAAAATAAGTTTAATTGTGAAACTGTGTTTTTCATGATAATAGCCCAAAAATGGGTAAAAATTGATGTAAAATGGGAAAATCATCAAAATTGGGTACTTTCAAATGGCTGTAGCAAAAAAAGAAGTGCACCACCATATGATTTTTTCTTCACCAATTATTTTTTAGTCATATAAACCCAAAAATCAGGTTAAGAAAAAAAATTTAATTCTAGAAATTTTTGGCTCCTCAGAGGTGTACATCCTTAAGCCTTTTTCAACTGATTTTTTATAGTTTGTTCTTATGTTGTAATGTTACACCACTGTCCCAGGTTAGTGGAGGGTTGGCGTTTAACCCCGCCACATTCTGTATGTGCCTGTCCCAAGTCAGGAACCTGTAATTCAGTGGTTGTCGTTTGTTTGCTGTGTTACATATTTGTTTTTCGTTCATTATTTTGTACATAAATTAGGCCGTTAGTTTTCTCGTTTGAATTGTTTTACATTTGTCATTTCGGGGCCTTTTTTATCTGACTATGCGGTATGGGCTTTGCTCATTGTTGAAGGCCGTACGCTGACGTATAGTTGTTAATTTCTGTGTCATTTGGTCTATTGTGGAGAGTTGTCTCATTGGCAATCATACCACATCTTCTTTTATATCTACAGGCAATATTCGGCAAATACAATGTACGACCATTACTTGTTTTGAGATAACCCCTTACAGTTTCCCTGTCGGAGCTGTTGTTAGCCAGTTATTGAAAATAGCTCATGGAAACATCAGATTTAGCCCTCCTTTATTGTGG